GGCGGGTCTGGAATATCTCCAGAGAAGGAGACGCCACAACCTCCCTGGGCAGCCTGTTCCAGTGCTCCATCAAAAAAACTTTGGTGGGAAGAGGAGGCATAGGGAATTAGACAGCGTGAGTCAGATTTCTCCATCAGCCCCTCTGGCCTCTGTGAACGTGCCCAGGGTGATGAAAACCAGCGGAACCAGCACTCGTCTTCTTTTAGGCTTTCTTTACATCGGGTAGATCTATTTTCTCCAAATGTTCACAAAATACAGAAAACTCGAAAAGAGGCCAAAGGTGAAAAGCTGCGGTTGTAAATTAAATTACGTGATTTCATAACTAGTGGAAGAAATGAGCCTGGCTCCCTGTGTAACAATTTCCCCACGCTGATGAACGTGCAGAATAGAAGGAAAAAAAAAAATCCAGTCAATTTCCTAAGAACCTCCTTATCAGCGGAATAAGAATGTTCTGCTTCACCGAAATATTAACCGTCGTCATTTCTTCCCGCGGCCGCTTCCAGCTTCCCACCTTAGTCAAACTCACTTCATTAGGAAACATTTACTGCTCAAGTAATAGTCATGCTTTCCACGTAGCTCCACCATTTGCATTTCAGATGGGACACAATCAGCCATATGCTCCTTTTTTTGGTAATAAACCAGCTCAGAAACAGCTTCACTTCTCCACATTTTGCTACAAAAAATGAGCCTAGGTTAATACGTATTATGTCTCTAGTCAAGAGAAAATTTAGTCAATGAGAAAATTAAAACAAAAGGCTGCTCTTTAGGGGAAATGGAAGCAAGTTTGGATGCAATTTCAAAAATGCCTAGGGGACGTAGGAACCTATGCTCAGAGTCAGGCACTTCAGAGACATATTTTGAAAGGTGTTTAGATGCTTAAAGATGCATGCAAACACTTTGTGTGGGATTTCTGAAATCTCCGAGACCTACCTCCTGCTGATTTCAAAGACCATTGCAGAGCCCATTAGGCATTTATTTGCATCTTTTGATACCTTCCAGAAAACAAAGTTCCAAAATGACTTTTCTGACCTCCTTCAGCAAAAGCGAGAAGAGAACCAAGATTTTTCTCAGCTCCATTCTGAAACCTTCACTGTGAGGCCAGCCTTCCTCTCCCAGCACGCTGGGGTCAGAGGAGGCACCGCACGAGCACCGTGAGCCACGCTCCGCTTGTGCCGACGTCGGACGGCTTGGGCGCGAGGGAGAGCGGAAAGGGACAGCCTCTGGACGATGCTCCGTGCTCAGGGCTCATGGGACCTCCTGTGCGATGCCTGATTTTCAGGGCTGACTCGATGGGTGGTGAAAAAACACTACAACAAACTTCTCACCCCGGTCTCCTTGCTGCAAGGATCTGTGCATCACCCACCCCTTGCACGGATGGGTTTTAGCTTGCACCTGCAGTTTCTTCCTGCTTTTGCACTTACATACTCGAATTCGACTTTAAGGCTACACAATTAAGTCAACATCAAACATACGTCAGGAAATGCCAAAGGTAGGACTGCATCAGTAAGATTACGGTGCCTGGGTTGCTGACTCCGTTTAATTTATAGTGCTCATCTTATCGGGGAAAATGACAGCACATTCAAAGGCGTTTTTCCAAACTAGAGCAAGAAGCAGTCTGCCGTTTCAAACCCCGAAGTCCAGAAGAGTAAATTACACAGAAAGAGCTGGGGCATTTACTGCAAACATGCGTGCCCAGGCACGCGTGGCTACAGAGCGTTCATCACCAGTACAGGCTTGGGGTGCACCTGCTGGAGAGCAGCTCTGCGGAGAGGGACCTGGGTGTCCTGGTGGACGACAGGTTAACCATGAGCCAGCAGTGTGCCCTGGTTGCCAAGAAGGCCAATGGGATCCTGGGGTGCATCAAGAGGAGTGTGGTCAGCAGGGCCAGGGTGGTTCTCCTTCCCCTCTACACTGCCCTGGTGAGGCCTCATCTAGAGTACTGTGTCCAGTTCTGGGCTCCCCAGTTCAAGAAAGATGAAGAGCTACTGGAGAGAGTCCAGCGGAGGGCTACAAGGATGGTGAGGGAACTGGAACATCTCCCCTACAAGGAGAGGCTGAGGGAGCTGGGCTTGTTCAGCCTGGAGAAGAGAAGGCTGAGAGGGGACCTTAGAAATGCTTATCAATATCTGAAGGGTGGGTGTCAGGAGGATGGGGCCAAGCTCTTTTCAGTGGTGCCCAGTGACAGGACAAGGGGCAATGGGCACAAACTGAGGCACAGGAAGTTCCGTCTGAACATGAGGAAGAACTTCTTCCCTCTGAGGGTGACGGAGCACTGGAACAGGCTGCCCAGGGAGGTTGTGGAGTCTCCTTCTCTGGAGATATTCAAGACCCGCCTGGACAAGGTCCTGTGCAGCCTGCTGTAGGTGACCCTGCTTCGGCAGGGGGGCTGGACTAGATGACCCACAGAGGTCCCTTCCAACCCCTACTATTCTGTGATTCTGTGATTCTGTGATCGCCCTTCAGTGTGATCCACCGGCGATGTAACAAATACAAAATGAACGGCACTTAACACACCTGGTGTAACGAATACCTGTAGCCATACGAAAAGGTGCCTTCGCTTACTGAAACATTCTAAAATGCAGAAGTGGGACTGCAGAACAGCAAGCAGAACCCACCTGCAGGGTTGGGTGGGGTTGGCCCCCGGGGCGGACATTAGCGGAGAGTCTAAATGGTCTGGTGGAAGATGTCCCTGCTCATGGCAGGGGGGTTGGAACCAGATGGTCTTCAAGGTCCCTTCCAACCCAAACCATTCTATGATTCTATGATTCTAAATGGCATTGAATACTTCAGATCCTGTGGGACAGAGGAATCCCCTACCCCAAGAAGAGCCTCACCCCGACTCTTATCATGCCTAGAAACCCCGTCTTGTTCCCAGCTAGCACCCAGCGCTTCCCTGCTCACACCCAACCTGCAAGCCGTGTCCAGGCTCTGCCCTGTCACCTTCTCAGTCTCGCACAAGTGCCAAATTCAGAGCAGCCTCGTCTCTTTTGGCTGCTGGCTGTGCCGGTCCTGGGGCTCGCCCCGGTCCTCCTGCCCACACTGGGCTGGCAGCATGCATCCCGCTGCCACGTGGCGCTTCCCGGTCCCTGAAGCACTTCGGTATGCCTCTAATTTTAAGTAATTCCATCATTTGACCATTTTATCATCCTGGCTATGCCTTCTGATTATAGTTACATC